TGCAATTTCAACCAAATGTCCATAGTATCTAAATTCAGTGGTGGTTTTGTCATAAAAACCCTTGTCAATGGGAAAGCTTCTTAGGGCATCTTGTTAATTTATCTCTCCAATTAAAAGTATATGTATATATAATTAGCTATGAGTATCTGCTTACAAAACATCCAGTGTCGCTCTCTGAATCTTGTAAACCAGTACAATGGAGAGGATCCAGTTGCGTGCAGGTAACACCCTAGCTGGATAATGTGAGCTGGTGCTATCACAAGGCCATTGCCCTCCACCTACTAACCCACACTGAAGAGCTCATAGCTGAGTACTTTGTGGTGCAGGGCAAGAGAGGTCATGAGGATCTGGGTGATAGCAATGGGTGTGTGTTAGGAACACAATGTGTGAGCAGAATGTTAATTTATCAACCTTTTTTGATCAGCACTGAAGGTGTGGCTGAAGGGTCTTGTTTTCAAGTGACTGCTGAGGATTCTTTTTCCATGTAAGACTCAGGAAGTTAGGCCCCTGTCTGGGTATCTGGGACCTGGAATAGGACTCAGCACTCCCAGAGCAGAGGACAGCTACTGTCAGATAAAAGCCAGAGGGACCAATGCACATGTTTTACACAGATCAGTAGGAAAACTGTGGCCAGGTGGTGACTCTGGGTCCTGGTTTTTATTTGTCCCCTCCTTCCCCCACCAGGCCAAGAGGCAGCATCAGGGAAAGTAAGGAACCAGTATTCAGAGGCTGTGTTACTTCTGCCCACACAAGAGAAGGACAATTCACAACTGGAATGCTCCCCAAAGCAAAAACATTATGTGAGTGAGGTCTGACTCCATTTAGAGATGTCACCTGAATCAGGGATGGGACCCTCACTATGTGTGGGACCACAAGCAAGGCACTGGAGATTTGTCTACCTCCATATTTTCATCTGTTGAATCTAGGCAAGTATCTTATGACTCCTACAAGGAGCCTTTGGGGAGCAAGTGAGATAATGTGGCCATAACTGGAATATGCTGCTACGGTCTGAACAGTTTGTCCCCTAAAAGTTCATGTACTAGAAGTTTGTTCCCCAATGTAGCAGGACTGAGAGATGGTGAAACCTTGAAAAGGTTGGCCTATTGGGAGACAATTAGGTCATGGGGGCTCCAACCCTGGAAGGATAATATCTATCCCAAGGGAGTGGATTAGGTCTCAAGGGGGACTGTGTTACCATTAAACTACCATGTTATAAAGTGAAGTCACTCCGTATGTTTGGCGTCTTCTGCACATGCTGCTTACTGGTATGTCATGCCATGTTATTATGCGGCATGCAGCTCTTGCCAGATGTGCCTCTCTGAGCTTGGACTTTTCACCCTTAAAAGTGAGCTGAAATAAATCCCTTTTCTTTATATAGTACCCAGCCTCAGATATTTTGTTATAATATTGTGAAATAGACTAAAACAATCCCCAAAGTTCTAAAGAGTTTGGAGAAGTCCAGAATTCCTGGTCACTGTCACTTTGCTCACACCTTTGGTCTTTGGGCTTGCAGTGTGTTTGGGTCCTACTTTGCCAGGCTATTGATGCCTTGCCCTCTATTTCTCTCTGCCCCACCTGGCTCTAGCAGGAGAATGGGTTCTAGACACTGCCCCCCCAGCCCCCTACTTTGCTTGCTTCTTCAGAATTAACTTTCAAATCTGCAGGAGTAGGAAAGAGGATCTGGGTCCAAAGAGCCATTTCATTTTTTTTTTTTTGGGTACCTGGGATCAAACTCGGAGCCTTGCGCTTTCGAGGCAGGCAGTGGAACCGCTGAGCTAAATCCTCGGCCCAAGAGTCATTTCTTTGTTTTTAATAACTGCTTTGTGGAGGTATAATGCACATACCATAAAATTCACCCGTCTAAAAAGTCTAATTCTGTGATTTTTAGTATATTCACACATTGGGTGTCTCTACACATTGGGTGTCTCTACACATTGGGTGTCTCTGGTTTCTAATCTGTTGCTGACTGTGATTCTAGCTTACATCTGTTAGGTGGTGACATTTCCACAGTGGATGTTCTCAGCCAGTGTGCTGCAAGTTTCTCTGTGGCCAAGGGCAGGCATGACAGCGAAGCACTTGTGCCCAGAGGGTGCACTGGGTTTGGGGCTTCACCTCTCCCTGGGTCCCCAACACCCTCCCCTAATCACCACCAAGAGAGATCTTGGGACGATGCAGAGGGCTGGAGGCACTTACCGCCAGCCCCTTTCCATTCTTGCTGTTGGGTGGGCGCCTCCCTTCACGGAAGCTTTAGAATTGGGACTCAGCCTCTGTGGGAATGGACGTGGAGGAGGACACTGGGGGGTCTGTGGTTAAGTTCTCGAGCGAGGTCAAGGACTCTTCTGTTGCGACAAGTCAGGAGTCTCGCGGAGCGAGGGGGTGCCAGCTGCAGAGATCAACACTGAGGCTGTGAGGCAAAGGTGGGCCAAGGCTTCGGGTCACACGTTGTGGAGTCGGGTGAAAACTTCTTAAGGGAACCACTGGGGGGCGGAAGGAGGGGGAACCAAGGATTCAGAGTGGGAAATAAGATCCAATTCGGCCCAGTGGAGAAGGGCTCAGGTGTTTTTTTTTGGGGGGGGGTAGGGTACCGGGGATCGAACTCGGGTCCTTGCGCTTGCGCAGCAGGCGGAGAAACCATTGAGCTAAATCCCCGGCCCAGGGCTAGTATTTTGAACCGAGAAGAGAACCCTGGGTTCTGGGGCCAGAAGGCGAGAGTCTTTCTGGAAAGGCTGCGGGAAGGACGAAGCATCAGTCCGTCACCCAGGGCTTCCCTCTGTAAAGGTCTCCATGCTCTCCTCTCTTCGGGATGGTGCTTGGGGTTCCCCAGAGGTCCTTGCCACTCTTACGACCGCTTGGACCTGGGAATTAGGCCCGAAGCTTGCTCGGGCGCCGCCTGGGTTCCGGCGGCTCGGTGGTGCGCCCCCTGTCGGTCACCTTGGACTTGGACTTTGAGGCAAAGGGGCTTTCGTAGCAGCTAGGAGAGGTTGGTGGACAGGCTGGGCCACAAAAGGAAACTGTGGGGCCAAGCGGAGACTTGAACACTAATGAGCAAATTGATACTATGCTATATTGACTTATTGCCAATTACAGCACATTAGCCCAGACACATCTAGAACTGAATATTGTATTGCAAGCTAAAGCAATCAACTATATTCCTAAACCCAATTTCATGTGGGTAATTAGAACAAATTATGTGAAGTCAAGATCAAAGTCACTTATTTAAAATAAAATGTATGCATTTTGTGAGCTCTGTGTACATTTTATATGTGCAAACAAGCTCAGAAACAGAGTCACCCCTACAGTACCATCTTACTGAAAGAGCAAATTAAAGTAGGTTAAATACAAACAGTATCATATCACTTTTATATTGAAGGTAACTCAAAAGGACCATATTGCGTTGAGTTAGTGGAACTGAAGATGAAACTACACTGTTTGTGTACAAATAAGCCGTATGTTTGTAAGGAAGGTGTGAAACAAATTCTCCTTCAAGGAAACTTTTTTTGTGTGTGTTTTTGAGACAGGGTCTCGCTGTATAGTTCAGGCTGGTCTTGAACTCACTATGTAGCCAAGGCTGGTCTTGAACTTGGGGTGATCCTTAAGCCTGAGCCTCCAGGGTTCAGGGATTACAGGCATGTGCTGCCATACCTGGGCTTCAAGGAAACTTCTAATGGTGAGAAAGGGCAAATAAAAATGAGTTAAAACCAATTTGGCTAAATCTAAGCAATATTAAGGAATATGTGTGACAGGGAGATGGGGCACTATTTTCCAAATGTTTACATTTCAAAGAGATGGCTGGTGTGGGGAGTGGTGGTTTAAGAAAAACTTTCAAGTTGAAAAGCTGTCAAGATGCTTATTCAGCCTGGGGCATGTCATTTACACATACATTTTTCCCTCTAAAGGAAAGAGGACAAGGTCTAGTTCCCTTTTCGAAACAGGGATAATTCAATTTAATTTTTTTTTTGGTACCAGGGATCAAACTTGGGACATTGCGCTTGCGAGGCAGGCGCAGTTTAATTTTTATTTTCCATTACAATGTTAATGTTCTTCCCAAGTGAAATAGGCTTGCTTTGCAGAACTCTAACTGGTGTAGTGCAAGAAGGAACAAGAATAGCCTAGTTCCTAAACGTGCGAAATTACGGTAAATTCTACCCAAGACGATCATTTTCCGGTGTGAGACAGACTATCCAAAAACAGGCAACGTTTAGGCTGAGAATGGGATGTGGTCTCGTGGACTTTGTGGCTTGCCTCAATCATGAGTTTTCCCTTCTTAAACCCAAGTCCTTTGGTCTCCTCCTTGGAATACACTTCCAGTTTGCCTGAACTAGTGTCTTCTGAATTGCAATCCCTGAGATCTCCCCCATAAAGAAAGCTCTTTTGTATTTTACAGCTTCGATATTGATTCCTGATCCATAATCAGGGTATTAGATAAAAGGCCAGAACCCCGCCTGAGTGAGGTTTCCATCCCTCCAGCAACTTGAAGAGAGTTTGTCAATATGGGGGACTTTGCTTTTAAGATTTTTTTTTTTTTTTCCTGTACCGGGGATTGAACTCGGGACCTTGCACCTGCAAGGCGGGCGCCGGAACCACTGCGCTAAATTCCCGGCCTTTTGAGGACTTTGACAAGATGAAAATGAGTTCAGGGTAAAGGCGGAGACTTTTGTTTGTCTTTTTGCTACGAGGATCGAACTCAGGTCCTTCAGGTTGTGCAGCAGGCAGCGAAACCCCTGAGCTACATCCCCGGCCCTAGGCCGAGACTTTCGTGAGATGGGTTTGTCCAGTCTGTATCCTCAAGTAAAATGGTGATGACCACAGAGATGCGCGGGGATACTCACATTAAGTGGATTATAAGTCACGGAGCCCTAGCACAGGGATTTCGGCTCATAGAAGGAGTAAAAACCTGAACGGAAACAAGTCCGAAATAGGACCGGAAATCCAGACTCGGAAGTGTCTGCGAAAGTTCTCGCAGGGTCTTCTGGGGAGTGTAGTCTTTCCGGATACTGGCGGAGGGGACAGAAATCTCTCGCGAGCCAGTACCTGTTTTCACCTTGAGTATTTTACAAAAGGATACAGAGAGGCTGTCACTACTGTAGTTATTGTCGTGGTAAATTAACTGTTGCACGGCCCCCAAATTGCTCCATGGCAGCCAAGGGGAGCGGAGCCTACGAGGATTCTGGAACCCAGGGTTCTGGCGTAGGTCAGAGGCGATGGCTGGAGGGAACAGTCCCGCTGGTCCTGGTGAGCTAGGCCCTCCTGGGTCTAGATCCTGGGCCCCAGGTTACCCTTAAGAGCGGTGGGCGCGTAGCGAACGGAGTGATCAGCCCGGAACCCCCGAGTTCCTGGGCATACGTGGACCTTCGTTCCCTGACTGGGGTAGGATTCCTGGAATTCTGATTTCTTTTTTGAAGGAAGTAGGATTATTCTTGGCCAAAGAATTCCCGAATCGGGAAGATGGCTCCAGTCATACCTCTCTGATATTTATTTGGGCTTTGAGGATAAGTTCAGCTGGGACCAAGTAGACAAATATCCCTCGTGGTGGTGTTGAGTCAGGATGGGCTCCTTGCCTGGCACATGCTATTGTTGGGAACGTAACTCTGAGCTTCAGTAAATGAATTAAAGAAGGAAGAGTTAACATAAAGAAGACGGTTTATTTGAGGGAAAAGATGGAAAAGAAAGAGGATAGACAGCTAACATGAGGTGGTAGGGGGCATCAGAGCTGAAAGCCCCCGAGCTTTATCCCAAGCTCCTTTTATTTAGGTGGGCTAGTGTCTTCCCATCCCCGAAGTGGGTGCTGGACGATATCTGGATACATCTGATCTATTCTCTCCGCTGTTTTTGATCCTAACCTAGGCATTCCTTCTGGCCTTTAGTTTCTTCCTGTCCTTTTGTAATAAATAAGTGAAGGGGGAAGGGCTTATAGGAAGGCAGCTTTAGACTTAATTAAGTAAAACGAACATGTGAACATGTGTGTACTATACTAAAGTGCCTTTGGGAACATACTATTCTCAGAACAAGACAGATGATGGAATCATGCAGGGCTTAGAAGTGTCACTGTCACTTTCATTCACCTCTTGTCCAAGGCGAGTTACAAGGCCAAGCCTGGTGTTAGGGGCACGAAAGTACAGTCCTTTTAGAGAGAAACAAATAACTGGGAACAATGATAAAATCCACCACAAAGACCTTTTAAAATTCTGATCACTGGGACTAGCAAAACAACAGAAGTGCATTTCTTCTTACAAGAAGCTCATATTCTAGTAAAAATTACATAAATTCTAAAAAGTTATATACATAGAGGAGTTGCCATATGGTGTGAGAAGCTCACAGACAGAAGAGGGGCTGAGCATCTCTGCTGTGGTGCTGGGGATGAGTCACAGGAGTGTCTCAGGGGACTCCCGCTAGCCTCAGCAGGGTACTAGCCACAGTGGGACCATAGTCACTTGGCCTGAGAGTCAGGACGTGGTGTCTGAGGAGCTTTTGAAGGTGACATAGCTCCTAACACCACCTGCCTCTTGCAGGACCACAGGAATGGAGGGCTTTGGTTTGGGCCCATCAGGAGCCACAAGTGGATGTCTCTGATAAGGTCACATGGCACACATATAAAGAAATGGAAGGTGGGGGTCATCTTTACAGAGTTGTTGTGAGGCCTGGAGCTGCCCCTTAGGAAGGACTGTTCAGACCCCCAAAACTCTGCAGAGTACAGGGACATAGAGGATTGAATACCGATGGAACCTGGGGCCAGGAACCAGAAGCTGAGTGCTGCATGTCCCAAGTGATCTGGAAGGGGACATTCAGAGGCTCCTTTTCTAGCAATATGCTGCATTCTGTCTGCTCTCTGAACCAGGCTTGAGGATGCAGAGGCTGAGGCAAGATGTGTTGTTGGAATCTGAGATGCAGAGGTGGAGGAAATTGTAAGGTTTGAAGGTAAAGGAGGAAAGGCAGGGGAAAGAATTGAGGGCCAATGGGCTGGGAAAGAATTAAGACAGAATTCCAGGGAACCCCTGTAGGTGGAAATGCCACATTTGTTGAATGGGGAGGGAATAAGAGAACAGGATCTCTGCAGAAGAGGCGTAGGCTTAGGCTCCCAGGAAAGACCCTGCAACATCACATTGTTGCTCTATCCTACAGGTCCTGTGCACACAGACAAGATGGGCTTTTACAGTTCAGATTGGAACAAACCACCCTGGCAGCAGAAATCCACCTCAAGATGAAATAATATCTACCTGGCCCTCTAGAGGTATTTCAAGGCATACTCTGGGCTGACTCTGGGGCCCTGGTGTTGCCTGATCACTCTGTCCTGGAACAGAGGAATGAGAGAAGATGTTGCTTTCCAGGAATAAGGAAGATATGAAGACCATGAAGAAACTGGCTTCATGGCTGAGGGTCTGGAGAGGTGAAGAGATGGCCACGTCTCCAGCCTTATGAGAGAATGTTCAGGTCACAGCTGAGTGAAGTGGCTGCTTTTCCCATCCTAGGCTCAGGAGCACTCTCAGAATATCTTGGGAGGTCTGATCTCACAGCTTCTTTTTCTTCCTTTAGGTTTACTTTCTAACAATATGCTGGTTCTAAGAAAAGAAGGGGAAGCCCCACAGCCGGTAAGCTGGGGTTTCATTCCCTTTCCCCCTTGAATTGCTGGTTGATTTAGAAAACAGACAAATTCTCTTTCTTGCCAAGGGATCAACATTTAGGCAGATGAGGGAAGCATAACTGAAAATAGTTGTTAGGCTAGATGTGGTGGTGCACACTTGTAATCCTAGCACTCTGGAGGCTGAAGCGGGAAGGTTGCTGTGAGTTGGAAGCCAGCCTGGACTACATAATAAGTTCAAGGCCAGACTGAACTACACAGTAAGACCCTGTCTCAAAAGAAAAAAGAAGAAAATAAAATAAAATGGTTGTTAAAATACACAGGCAAAGGCATTTTGTTTTTATTTTATTTTACTCTTTCTTTCTTTCTTTCTTTCTTTTGATACGAGGGATCAAACTCAGGACCTTGCGCTTATGAGGCAGGCGGCAGAACCACTGAGCTAAATCCTTGGCTCAATTTCTTATTTGACAAAGTATTTATATTTAACTCAAAAAGGTGACATGACATGTTAATACAACTTGTTATTTATTTCATCCTAAAGACAAGGGTTTTAAAGGTTCCATTTAGTAACCTGAACTCGACAGTAATGCTCGTTTCATACCTCATTCATTTTCTCTATCATCATAGTTTTCTTTTATTTTCTCCTCTAAGTCTTCTCTGGCCCTGATGGTCAGCACAAGCCCCACGAGGTTGTTTTTCTTCTCCAGCCCATCCTCTATTCTTCCATTTCAGAGTTGCTCCATTATGATCCTTGAAGTCAGTGTCCTGAACACTGCTTAAGGTTTTCAAATTGATGCCTACACTGTTTCTCCTGTGAAATCATAAGGTGTCAGGGGCTGAAGTTTGTGTGTCTCTGATGTGCTTCTTAGATTTTATCATAAAGTCAGGCATGCAGTAATGCCCAGAAGAACTTATATGGAGAACCATGTACTTGGAAATGATTTAGACCAATTTCTCATGTTTCCAGGTTTTCCAGTAAGAGGGGTCTATGTTCCTCACACTGGGGAAATTGGTGGTGGCTTGGTGTTCATGCATTTCCTGCATGTTTGTGGGTAACAGTCACATCCAAGGACATATTATTATCTTCATGGAGGAGAATAGAAGAGACTGAGCTGTGAGCGAGGAACATATACAATGAAGGGATGCTGGAAAACTGGAATCTGCTGTCTTTGGGTGAGGCCATATTCTTTGTTTTCCTTTCCTTCATTAATTTAGGAGAAATGGATTACTACCTACTATTTTCCAGAAAATGTTTTAGACATGTAGAACCTATTAGTAAGTGAAATAGTAATCCCTGGCTCATTGGGCTTACTTTCCAGTGTAAGGCAACAGACAACAAGCAAAAGGCTTTATACACAGGGGTATTACAGTATAGCATGTTAAAAGGTGATCATTGCTTCATAGTAAAAAATAATAAGATAAAGCAAAGTAAGTAGGGTTGAGTGTGATAGGGTAGCTGGGTGAATTTTGAAATTAACGAGGAAGTAACATTTGACTAAAGACCTAATGTGATGATAATGTGGCTTAGATGATTTTAGTAGAAGAAAAGGCTAACTGTAGTGGAAGCTCTTTACAGAGTAGAGTGCTTGCTTCAAAGATTTCTAGTCTGAGGGCTGGGGATTTAGCTCAGTGGTTTCGCTTCCTGCTTCATAAGTGCAAGGTCCCAAGTTCGATCCCTGGTTCCAAAAAAAAAAAAAAAAAGATTTCTAGTCTGACATGTTGAAGATGTTTTTGGCATCGATTTTCTGGATTGCAATAGAAAATGTAAGTTGTAGAATGGAATATAAAGGAGAGAAACAAATTGTATTATTCATATATTATCAATTGCAGTTATGGCAATAAGACACTCTGCCCCAAGATATCCAGCAGAGCTTCACAGCCCCACTTACAGCTGCTGGAACTGAAGACTTCCTTTCTTTAGCAGAACCAAAGCTAGAAGTCTCCCCTGGTTCCTCCTGCTTCTGGCTTTTTCCTGTCAGCAGTTCCTCAGTCAACATGTACTTCAGATTTTCCCAGAATCACATGTAAAAAGTCTCTTCCATCCAGGTGACTCCAGCCCAGGAATCAGAAGTCCCAGGAGCAGCAGTATTGTGATCAAAGCTTCTAGAGTGAAACCACCAAAGTTGTGAGAGAGAGAAGGTGGCTTCAAAGACTCGCAAGTGTGGGCACAGGAGAGAAGGAGGAAAGGAAGCCTCAAGGACATTCTCCACCCTCTTCCAAGAACAGTCGTCAAGAGGAGGTAACATGGTGTAGAAAAAGAGCCTCACTCAGCTCAGAGGGTAAACCTTTTGTAACCAAAGGGTTGAAGGAGTTAGAGACCTTGATATTGGAGCAGTGGACTATAGAGTGTGTGAGCCAGACTGTAGCCTGAAATCAAACTTCATTGCAAAGTCCAAGACTCTTGCAGGCAAGAAGCCCTATGTTTGCAGTGATTTCAGGCCATAAGTCGACCCTCATCAGACACCATTGGACACACTCAATGGAGAAGCCATGTGTGCAGTGAGGGTGGCAGAGGCATTAGCTAGAAGCCCAACATCAGCAGCCATCAGAAAACATTCAGAAGAGAAAGCTTTCTTGTGCAAGGAGTGTGAGTATAGCTTTAGAAATAAGTCTATCCTCAGTAGACATCAATGGACTCACTTAGGGAGAATCCTTGCATTCACAGCAAGCATGAGTGAAGCTTTGGCCAGAGGTCATCCTTCTTCATAACCAGAAGATCCACTCAGGTGAGAAACCTTCCATGTGCCTGGAGTGTGGACGAGGCTTCATGATGAGGTGAAGACACCAGAGGCTGCTTAGGGGAGAAGGTTATGTTTGCAGGGAGTTTGAGGCCTTAGCAACACTCAGTCCTACTCAGCACACCAGAGGATACTCAGGTGAGAAGCCTTCAATTTTCAGGGTGTGAGGAAGGCTTTTGCCTCAAGTCAGACCCCATTATGCATGAGAGGCACACTCACAGGAGAAGCCTCACATGTGCAGTGAGTGGGGTGAGTATGGTGTGAAATCACACCTCCTTGTCCACCATAGGACACAGAGGGGAGAAGCATTATGTTTGTGGGGAGTGTGGGCAGAGCTCTAGCTAGAAGTCAAATCTGATCTCACACTGGAGGATAAACTGAGAGGAGAAGCCTTGTATGTGAGAGGCTCACGGGCAAGACTAGAGCCACCAGTCAGGCCTTATCTTAAAGCAGAGACACAATGAGGATCTCTGTGTGCATGTGGAGTATGAGTGACGTTTCAGAGCTGTGTCACCTCCTGTAGGCCCCGAGGACACATTCTGGAGCATAGCAATAAATCAGCCTCATTTAGGGAAAGTCCTGTGTGTGTAGGGAGTGTGGGTAAGGTGTTAGTAGCAAGCCAGCACTTAGAGACATCCAGTGACTGCCCTGTGGAGGTGTCAAACATTTGGGGTGTTGGTTAGCATCAGCAAGAAGGTGAACAGGCAGCACAAGAGGGCCTTCTGTGGTCCCACACCTCAGGAAGAATCTGCACGGGGGATGCTCAGTCAGGTGATCTTTTTGGGGCTGATACCCCAGCTACTTGAGGGAAGGGCCTCTCCCTCCCTTAAGGGAAGCTGCACTCCTCTGAGGCACCAGCTCTTAGCCACAGGGAGCTGCAGACTCCCCAAGGACTCCTAAAAGTGACTGCTTCAAGTTAGGAGACAAAACCCCACCCTTGACTCAACTGAGACAATTACCCAGGTCCTGCCCAATCCAGAGCCCCACTGGACTAAACGATCTCTCAGTTGCAAACACTGCAGGTCAGCCCTGTCCTCTGCCCAGTCCTGCCCTGGGCCCAAGTGGACCCTGACTACCTCCCATGGTCTCTGCAGGAACCTAATTGAGGCCATCTTTTGTGTCAGAGTGAGGATGAGGCTTTTGCCATGTCACCTCTGAGCAGATATCAGAGTATACAGAAAAGAAACTGGGTGCACAGGGAGTGGGCAAGGACATAAGAAAGAGGCACGCTGTCTCAGGGAACAGCTTTTTTTGGGAGAGGTGTTACATGGGCAGGAGTGGGGAGGATGTGAGATGCCTTAGCAGTAAGTTTAACCTCCCAGACACCAAAGGACACACTTAGGAAGAAGGCCTGTGTGTGGGAGGGGTTGTGGCTGAAGGTTTACCTTGATGGTCCTGCCTCATTCACCTCTGAGGGTCTCCAGGAGAAATCCCAGCCTCCCCCCATACTCTGAGAGTAAAGTGGCAATAGAAATTAAATGGACTCCCCCCCACTTTTTATAATTAGATGGAATAAAAAAGTAGGCATTCATTAAGTTTTCTTTTTGTACATCAGTTCTTTCCCTGGCTTCTTATCCTTTGCTTTGGTCTTGAATTCAGAACCCTCATCATTCTTCCTCACTTTCAGTTTTAGAATGGTCTTTTTTCATGTTGGTTTTTGCTGAGTTTTCTGGAGAAAAAATTGGTGATTGTGAAAAATGAACATCAATTTTAGTATGGAAACATTTGACTCAATAATTGCAATAGGTGGGAACTATGTAATCTGATGGAAAAAATTGTAGAAATATGACTACTTGGAAAGATATAGTAGCACCATGTATAATGACTCTGTGTCATAGTCACCTCTAGGTTACAGAGAAGTTTGGGGCAGGAAGGACTTTCAAGATGGCTAGCAATGTGACAGCACTTGTTTGTGAAATGAGGTATGGTGGCCAGGCATGTTGGCACACACCTGTAATCCCAGCACTTGGGAGTTTGAGGCAGGGGGATTGCCACAAGTTTGAGGTGAGCCTGGTCTGCATAGTGGGTACAAATCCAGCCTAAATTACATAGCAAGACTCTGTCTCAAAAAACAGAAAACAAAAAACAAAACAACCAGGTATGGTGATGCATATTAAAGTGGACCTAATAAATACATACACACAAGTGTTGTAATAATCTGCACATATATTTCTCACTTATGAAAAATAAACCCAGAATTTTAAATATATTTTTTAATGAACTGTATATGTTTAGGGGTAACATGGTGATATATACACATTATGTAATGTTTTCATCAGGGTAAAAAAAATCTATTTCCTCAAAAATATATTGTTTTAATGGTGAGAACACTCAAAGTCCTTTCTTCAAGCTTTTTGGAGTACAGTATAATGGTCGTGCTATGTGCAGGATACCAGAATTTATTGTTCCTAACTATACCTCAGAACCCATTTATCAACCTCTCCTGATCCCTCCCTCAACATAAAAAAATTTTTTTGAATCAGTTTCTTTCTAAAAGAGAACAGATGGTACTAGATTCCTGGAAACATGAAATTTTCTTATTGCCTCATCATGTTCCATTAGTAAATACCATATTATCCTTTTATTTCCTCCTAATATGCATGAAATATATAAGGAATAAAATCCATATTTTCATTGTGTATCTAGTCTTATACTTAATTTGTTAATTTTAACCCAGACTTGTTTTGGAGAATAGCTAAATACTTCTCTTTAAAGTGAAGTTTGGGATTGGTTGAAACATGACATTTTAGAATCCTAAAAGACAACAACAACAACAAAACTACTGAATTCCTAGAGTTCCATTCACCAATGTTCTTAAAAGGTTAAAAGCATTGCTTCTTTGAATATTAAGGCACAGCTGAAGGCTGGGAAAATCTCACAAAGCCGGGTTACACAAGGGGACAGGCCACGCTCTTGTCCATGGCTGCTCCAGAACACAAGGTGGATTCCCAAATTACCCTGTTCAACAGGCTGTAAGACAGAGTTGGCTCAGCAGGATGCTCACTGCTGTTAGCCAACAGTTCCTGTCTTTTCCTCTACTTTCTTTGGAAACCAGAATGCTACTTTTTGGCTAGGAGGAAGTAAGCTTCATTTTGTGAATTTTAATATTTAATATAGTTTATGTTGTTCTAATAACGAGTAAAAACAGAAGGGCTTTACCTTTGCCTAAGTCTGCTAAACTGCCACCAAAACAGGTTTAATTGCCTTTTTTTGGTACCTGGGAACAAACTCAGGACCTTTCGCTTGTGAGGCAGGTGGCGGCACCACTGAGCTAAATCCCTGGTCCTTAATTGCCTTTTTAAGAGAGAAGGCCCAATATATGAAATTTTGAAGAATAATAAATTTTGCAATATTGGACCAAACTAATGAAATACAAAGGGTGATTAAAAAATAGTGTGAATATTTAAAATTTAAAAATTTATTGGACACTCCCATTAATCCCCCTCAAAATACTTCCCCTCACTTCTAACACACGTATCCCATCATTCTTGCCACTTTCTGAAGGAGTCTTAGAAGTCTTCTTTTGTGTCTTTACAAGGTCTGATAAAAAATACAGTGAATGCTGCCACTGAGTGCCATCCAATGGAAGGGCAGGCTCGTAATAACTTTACCGTGTGTCTTCATCCAGCTTATTTACTGGATGTGGCACCATTCAACTTCTGGCCTTTCCCCAAAGTAAAAATGACAGTGAAAAGTAAAGGTTTTTAATTGATTCAGAATACTGAGGCAGCCACAACAGCACAACTAAAGACATAAAGGATTTCCAAAATTGCTTCAGAAAGTGGCAAGAACAATGGGATAAGTGTGTTCAAAGAGAAGAGGAATATTTTGAGGTGGATTAATGGCAATGTGTCTTTTAGTGTAATAAATTTTAAAATTTAAACACTACATTTTACAATCACACTTTGTATTTCAGATCAGTTTTCTGCTGGATATGTTGACAAAAGTAAATACATGGGATGGATGTTCTGGAAGAGATGCTGTGGGAAATCTTGAGAATGAATGATAAAGTGTGATGAACAGCACTGAGACTAAGATAAAATTGAGAGATGTTGGAGTTGTCCAGGCAAAATTTATAGCAGAACTATGGTGACAGCTGTAGTTCTATATAACTGCTGATCCTAGTGGCTTTCCCTGATTACCTAGGCAAATTTGTACCTCAACATTTTCAGCAACCCTACCGTGCTTTATTTTTTTCACATTACTCTAATGCTACTTTAATTACACTTCTTAGTTTGGTTATTGTCTTTCTCACTGGAACATAAGCTCCTTGGAGGAAGAAACTCTATATCCCCTAAGATGGCATGGCATTTGTAGGTGCTAAATAAATATTTTAAAATGTACACAGGAATGATAGGTGCTTAAGTAACTTGGGGGCAAAGGAACAACTGAAGAGCCTGGTAGACCTATATTCCCATTCTTACTGCCACCTTGTGGAAGCTAATTCATCTCTGAGCCTCCACATCTTCATCTATAGATTTACAGAAATAGGCTGAATGAACACACCTTTTAGAGATGTTGTGAAGATGACAGAGCTCTGAGGTGGTAGCTTTCCTTACTGGGCTTGAGGAACAACAAGGAGACTAGTGGAGGCTGATGAATGAGCAGAATATTGGAGACGAGGTCGGAAAGGCGTGCAGGGCTGGATTTTAGTCCACAGGTGCTCAGAAGTCTGGGAGGTGGGGTGTAGGGCAATGAAATAATCTGATATAATTCAAGCTCATTTTAGAAGGATTCCTCTGGCTATGTAAGTATGAGAGAGGAAGCAAAGAGACCAGTTAGGGGCTCATTCAGTAATCCAAGCCAGAGATGAGCATGGCTAGGACTAGGATGGTAGCAGTGGAGTGACAACAATAAAGACAATTTGAATGTGGGGGTTCATGATTTCCTCATGGGTTGATTATGAGATGAGAGAGAAGTATGTTTCAAGTTTGTCACTCTGTCCTTTTTTTTTAAACTTAAAAAACTGCAAAGGTGATCTCTGATAGAGAAATGGTTTAGGAAAGACGAATGAATAGAATCAAGAATTCAGTTTTCAACATATTAAATTTAGTGTACCTACTAGACAGTCATGTCAAGCAGGGGGTTGGGTAAAAAAGGCCAAGAATTAGAAATGACCAGGGTTAGAGGAATAACTTTTTTTTTTTTTGGTACCGGGGATCGAACTCAGGACCTTGAGCTTGCGAGGCAGGCGGCGGAACCACTGAGCTAAATCCCCGGCCCTAGAGGAATAAATTTTAAAGTTCTGGGCATATAGGTAATAATTAAAAGTGTTGAGATTGAACGAGATTCATTCAGTAAATATTTATTGAACACTTTGTGTCCTAAGTGGTGTTCTAGACATTATAGCAATGAACAATACACACACACAAAATTCATATCCACAATGGAGCTTCCATTCTAAAAGGAAAGAGGATAGATAATAAAAGAACGAATAAAAGCATACTTCCTTCCTCTTTTATCCAAAGTTTTGCTTACTGTGGTTTGTTACCTGCAGCCAATCATGGTACAAAAATATTAAAATGGAAAATCTCAGAAATAATCAATTCTCAAGTTTTGAATTGTGTGCTACTCTGAGTAGCATGATGAAATACCATGCCCTCTTGCCCCCGTCCTGCTGGCTGTGAATCATCCCTTTGCCAGTTTATACATGCTATGTATGCTATCCACTTGCTATTAGTCACTTAGTAGCCATATTGATGATCAGATTGTGGTATTGCAGTCCTTGTCTCTCAGTAGTCCTTATTTTACTTAACAGTGGCCCTAAAGTGAGCATACATGTTTGGTACCATATGCAGTTTCAGGCATCCAGTGGGGGATCTTTGCCTTATCCCCAGGGATAAGGAGAAACTGCTTACAGAATCATGTTAGATAGCAATCAATATTCAGAGAAAAGAGCCAGTTAACAGAAAAGCAGGAGTGGTTGAAGAGAGAGGCCCTGAAATGAAGGTAGGAAATGAAGACGGAGTAGTAATATGCCGGGGGAAAAGGAACGAGGTGACACCAGCTGCTATAACGAGGACGCAAACTATGAAGTGTGTGTCCAAAGAAAATGCTAAGACTGAGAATTTCAAAGCTGATGTTAACATTGCCCCATCAAACTCGCCTCTGCTCTTGCCCTAAAACACAGAACTCCGCCCTGGGGCCGGACCTCAAGGGCTCACGGCTGACACCGGAAGTAGCGTTCTACCCGACCTTATTTTACTGGCGGCTGAATTTCCGGTAGTGGCGGCGCGAAACGGGCCGCGGTCTCTGTGTAGGCCTCTGAGGGGGCGAATCCGGCGCGAATCCGAACCATCAGAACCGCCAACATGGTAAGAACGCGCGGGCCAGCGGCACTAGAGCTCCGGAATCTGCTGTGTTTTGGGGACCGTCGCGGATGGGAGAGGGAGCTGTGGGTTGGAGCCAATTAAAGCGGTGAAGGCCCGAGCCGCGGGTATTCGCTCCCGGCGCCGAATACCAGGACCTTGGCGGGGTAGGGGGAGAAAGCGAGGGCCGGGTCGCTCAGTAGTGGCGAAGGTAGACCGTGGTACTCCACACCGCAGTAGCTGTAATGCCTGGGACCCGGAAGGCATTAAGTAAATATGCTGAGTGAATGTTGTCTGAGATTTCGGAGCAGAACGATAGCCTCAGAAGGCTAGGGAGGACCTGGTATAAGGTTCAGACTGGTGAAAGGGGGTAAGAGTCCAAGGAGTTGTGGAAAGGTTTATGGTCCGAAACTACTGCCTTGTTGGGTCAATGGATGGAGAAGAGGAAGCAGGAGGATGATTGCAGGAGTTCCACTCATTTGTGTAGCATACTTTTAATGTTTGTGTGTGTAACAGTTCTCAGGCGCTTGGGCTACATCATGAAATGTTTTATTTATTTATTTATTTTTACCGAGTTTTAGCTTTCTTGTTGAGCACACGGATACTATAATTTCGTGTGGAAATTAAGAACTAGGCAAAAGTAACGGCGGAGGGCGAAGTAAGAATGTTTTTTGGGGGATGATGGTTCCTGGGAGATTCCTAAAAATTGTCAGTTTTCCCAGCAAAAATAGGAACTAAAAATCTCAAGGGCAAACAAGTGTGAAGGGTAGCATGATTCGAAGTTGCTGCAATGGGAAGGAAGAGGTAGAAGATGAGATGAGAGGAATTGGCAGGAATCTTTATCATATTGGTGATGAAGCTTGCCATTGAAGGATTTTAACTAGCAGAAGGATTTGAACCCAGTTGGGTTTAGAAAGCTCTTTAGCTGTTAGGTAGTGGATAAGACTGGGAGCAGGGAAACCTCATACAATACTGAAGAATTGACTAGGTTCCAGAACAGCTTTCCCACTGGTGAGACATGTCAGATTCCTTAATCTCTTCCAGGTTTAGTGGCTTCATCTGTAAAATAGGAATAATAATGGATCTAATTTTGAGGATTAAGTGATAGGAACAGTTCTAATCACAGTGCCAGACTATACAGTGAGGACCCAAGAAGTCTTAGCTATTACAAGGGAAATAAATGAATGGTGCCCAAAAGGTTCAGATCATATGTATAGAAGTCCTTTAAAATGATCACTAACCCTGGTGTGGTGGTGCAGGTCTGTAATCCCAGCACTCAGAGGCTGGGGTTTGGGGGTGGGGGAGTGGGCTGAGGAAGGATTGTTATGAGTTGGAAGCCAGCCTGGGCTACATACTAAGTTCAAGGCTAGTCTGAACTAAATAGTGAGACCTTGGCTTCAAAAAAATCACAAAGAGCACAACCACATAATGTGGATCTTAAGCATAGTAGGCAGTAGCATGGGGGAGTCAAATTTCAGATCCACACATTCATAGTTTCAGGAACTTACTCAAGCTCAAGAAGATGAACAGCAAGCACACTGGGTGGTATGGAGAGGGCACTTGGATAAGTTAGGACTGGCCTACACCTGTCAAACTGATGGGAAGCTGATAATCAGGTAGTGTTTCTAAAAGAATCAAACTTGCCAAGGGCACCTGATGGTGATGTCTGTATGATCCCTCTATTTTGGCAAAGCCACATTGGAAGCCAGACTATATAAGTAAGAATACTATTATCTGTCCAGAGAGATTAGCACTGAAAGTTTACCACAGTGGGTCTGGGAAGCACACTAATAAATTCTTGATTTGGAGATTCTATTCTCTTCACTTCCAAGATGACCAACTCCTTTCAAATAATGAGCTTCTCCTTGATTGGATTTTAGTGCCAGTCCCACTCCAGACCTTTATTGTTTATTAAATTTGGATACCTAAATTTATTAAATTAAATTTGGATATCCAAATTATCCTATAGAACATGAAACATCTATAATCCTTAAAACAGCAGATGATTTAATCTCTAGTATAAGTGGATTTAATTAATTTGATGACTCCTCCTTGAAATGGATATAACATAGACAAAGGCAATTGTAATATGAGAAAGATTTTTTTTGATGTTACTGAGGATTGAACCCAGGGGTGCTCTACCTGGGACCTACATCCCCATCCCTTTTTATTTTTTGAGACAGGATCTTGCTAAATTGTCCAGGTAGTACTTGAACTTGTGAACCTTGTGCCTCAGCCTTCCTAAGTGCTGGGATTACATTGATGGGTTTTTTATTTTTTATTTTGAACATTAAAAGTCAACTCTTTCAGAGCACTTGTTCTCCTCATAATGTTGACCTTTCCCTGAAATGTTGTGTTTTTGTTTGGTTTTTTTTTTTTTTTTTTGGTACCAGGGATCAAACTCTGGCCCTTGCACTTGCGAGGCAGGTGGCTGAACCACTGAGCTAAATCCCCGGCCCTGGTTTTCATTTTGAGATAGGGTCTTACTAAGTTGCCTAGGCAGGAGTTGAATTTATGATCTTCCTGCTTCAGCCTCCTTAAAGTGCTGGGATTATAGGTGTACACCACCACACCTAACTGAGAAAGAGTGACTTTTAAGGGAAGGGAGAATAGCAGATTACTGGGCTGAAAACAGGGTGACATGGGAGACTTCTCCAAAAAGAGCTGTGATAAAAGACAGCTCTATCAGAAAGACACATGGAAAATAAGGCTATAGTGGGAGATTTTAGGGAGGACCCAAGGGTTTGTGGGTCCAGAAGGACTAAGTCTCATCCTTGCTGCTTTCTTCTTACAGACGGTGGGCAAGAGCAGCAAGATGCTGCAGCACATTGACTACAGGATGAGGTGCATCCTACAAGATGGCCGGATCTTCATTGGTACCTTCAAGGCTTTCGACAAGCATATGAATTTGATCCTCTGTGACTGTGATGAATTCAGGAAGATCAAGTGAGGAGTGGGTTTTTGGGGGTGTCTGGAGGAGTTGTCTGAGTGGGTGGGCCAAGCAGCAGGTGATGTAGCTAGTTGGCTCTTCTCTGTTCTGCTTTTGAGGGCAGACTTAAGTGGGGACATTAAACACTAAGAAATCTTAGTTCATCAAGCCTCTCTAATTCTAGCAAAGTACAAGTTGTGAGGAGGGCTGCTAGGCTTTTTGTTTCTGACTTTACATGCCCCTGGCTACTGGGGTAAAGGGCTCTCATGTTCTCCCCACAGGTGTGAGGGGGGAGAGCTTGATTTTCTGGCTTCATTACCTATTTGTAAAGCTGTAGCCTAAAGGGCTCTCCCAATGCAGCCTGGTCTGAAACTGCTTTAAGAAGCCTCTGACCCTCTTCAGGGTAAGTGCTCTGCTCCCCATGTTGATTTGGGGCCAGTGATTTTTGTTGGCATTTTAGAAACATTGGAGATGTCTTCTGTGATACAATTCCATAAGTTATTGGTTAACTCCCTTAAGTATCGTTGATCATAAGCTTTTGGCCTACAAAATTAAATACATTTAAGACACCTTGAGGCCCAAAGAGGTTATGTGACTTTGTGGTCATATGTATACTTTTTGTCCTAGGTAGTTGCCATATTGTTGTCACTGACTGAATTTCCTTGGATTTTTTTAAGGGACCTGTTGTTTTCTTTTGTGGTCTCTGGCAAGCAAGTATAGGATAAAAAATGTAGAGCTGTCTGAGGGCCTAATATGTATTAGAGAGGAACCAGCAGATCAGTGTGAAACTTCCTAATGGTTCCCTTCTGTTTTTTATTTTTTTTCTTTTATCCTTCCAGTTTTTTAAATGAAACTGATTTTTATTCTGATAAAAAAATATTTATTGGAAAAATTTTGAAAAGTAAAAGGCAGTGGGAAAAAAATTGAACTGCCCATAAGGGTTTTTTCCCCTTACTATGAACATGCCTATTATTTAAAAGTAAGAGAATTTGAGCTGAAAAAAAGGTCTATCCATAGAAAACCAACTAATAGTATATAAAATTTCATTAAACTAAAATTTTTGTTTTTTATTAAAAAATCAGAATATTTTGTCTTTTATTTTGAGGATCTTGGCCTTTGCTACCTACTTTCCGCCCTTTTCCCCTATCCTGTTGCAGTTATTTTTCCTCTTTTTTGCAGTTTGGGGGTTTGTTTTTGTGCTTTTGAGGAACCAATGTGAACATTTCATCTTTTGTGTGAAACTTCTCTTACCTTTTCCTTTGTCGCTTTTATTTCTGAAATGAGGTGAGGAACAAAAGTACAGGCCAGTGAGGTTGAATTGGCTTTGGAAGGACACTGAATGAAAGTGGGGTGGGTGGGATTCATTTGACTTGGGGAGTTGTGGCTGCCTCTTGACATATCAGAGACTTGGCTGAAGGAAAGATCTTCATAGTTGGCTGTAGGAGAGTGTCTGAGCCAGGGCTGGGCTTTTTTGCCTTTGTCCTGTCTTTTGGTCTGTGTGTCAGAAGCAGATAGATAACCACCTAAGGGGTCACACACTCAGCCTGTGGAGAGTATCCATAGGATCTGCCTCTGGAAAGTTTCTGTACCATTTGTCAGGAGAGAGTATAAAGCGAATCTTGGAGATACCTAGGCAGGTGAACCTGAACTTTACCCATTCTCTAATTCTTGCTTTTTTGTTTCTTCTAAACCTACTTTAGGCCAAAGAACTCTAAGCAAGCAGAAAGGGAAGAGAAACGAGTCCTCGGTTTGGTGCTGCTTCGAGGGGAGAACCTGGTCTCCATGACAGTAGAAGGACCTCCTCCCAAAGATGTGAGTCTGAGCAGGAAGCTGTGAAAGGGAGACTCTCCCATGAGCCAGGCTCTTTGTTAGGTTCTCTGAATATCATTGCCTCCTTTTACAGGTAACAAATGGAAACTTAAAGAGTAAGAAATGGAGCTAGGTTTTGGGTTTTCTGAATTTAAAACCTCCCTTCTTCCTCAGTTTATATACGTAGTCAGTGGAGAGGCACCCAAGGGCGGCTGGGTCAGTTTTTTATGTGATGGCAAAGTCTAGGTGGAACTTAAATTTTTTTAACTCCAAACAATGGAATACATGTGCATTTTATTTTGTACCAGTTGTAGTTACAACAATTTATAATATTGAGCATTTGCTGTGTACCGAGCATGTCAGTATTTTATTAATCCCTGTCTTAATAGTCTTTTGAGATAAATTATCCTCACTTTATAGGTGAAACAAACTGGAGTTTTATAACCTGCCTAACATGTCACAACTAAGTGATGACACTGACATTTGATCCCAGATAATCTTGGTTCTATAAACACCAAGCTAAGTTTATAAATAGAGCAAGCTTGAGAGAGTCTAACCAAGTTTGTTTTCCCGTTTTTCATTTTAAGATATTGTTAAGGGAATAATTTTGCCCTTCTATCCACATTTGTTTTTTTGTACTTAACACATGACATGCATGTTATATTTTGCTCTGCTTTTTCACTTAACATATTTTTTTCTCATGAGTATTGTAAGTCATGCTAATGACCTAAAGTTATCCCTCCAATAAGTTCAAAGTAGTTTATCCCAGTCATTTCCTTTTTTTTTTAGCTCTATATTTTAACTTTTTTCAGTTATAAATGTCTATAAGAGATGTTACCATATTTTTTGGCTCGAATTATATGTACATATTCATAATGCTTAGTACATCCTTCCAGTAGAATTTGTTTTATTATGATCCCATTGTTTACAGATGAAAAGACTTAAGCCCTAGCATTGTGGCATTATTTGCCCAGGTCACCTAGGAAGTGAGAGTTAGTTGGGAATGGATCCTATGTCCCTTTGTTGCCACGTCAAATTCTCTTGTCTAGTGAACCCATCTGAGTGGAACCTAGGTCTTTGCTCTTGGTTTAAGTTTCATAGTACTGCATATGTGTGGTTGAGTTGTGACACATTTCTCTAGACTTAATTTCTAGCTTGCTTCAGAGGTGACCTATGGTCATATATTCTTGGTTGGGGGAAGAATGGTGTTAGCACATAGTGGCAGGTAGTGTTACAAGTTGTTTTGATGCCTTTTAAGTCTGAGGGGATCTCTTAGCAATGGTATTCCAAAATATATTTCTGATTCTCTAGGCCACTGAGTATTTTAGCTTGTTTCTTTATTTTTCAGACTGGCATTGCCCGAGTGCCACTTGCTGGAGCTGCTGGGGGACCAGGAATTGGTAGGGCTGCTGGTAGAGGAATCCCAGCTGGTGTTCCCATGCCGCAGGCTCCTGCAGGACTTGCTGGGCCAGTCCGTGGGGTTGGTGGGCCATCTCAACAGGTGAGGAATTGGTAGAAGGGGATCATCTTCTGGTCCACTGTTTAGGGAGGAGTCCAGAATGACCAGTCCATGATTATCAGACCATTCACTTCTATTAAAATGAAGAGATATACAAAAGAGATTTTGGCCAACTGTATTTGAGCAGTTTTTCTATGGCAACATTAAATGTACTTTCTTATAATCTATCATCAAGTTTTGCTTGAAAATGTAGGTGCCTTCCCTAAATTGAATCGGATATCTTTAAATTCAGGCCTAGAAGGTGGGAGGGAATTGGACATTCACATTTGACCTTTCCTGACACTTGGTTTTGGATAGGAATTCTGATGCCATGAATTGTAGCTTTAAGGAATTTGGTGTCTGCTATTCTTTTACCAAGTTGGGGAGGCAGGGGAGTGGAAAGCTGCATTGCACTGTTCTGTTCTCGCTTTCTTCCTTTCTGTATCCTTTTAGGTGATGACCCCACAAGGAAGAGGCACTGTTGCAGCTGCAGCAGCTGCTGCCACAGCTAGTATTGCAGGGGCCCCGACCCAGTATCCACCCGGCCGTGGGGGTCCTCCCCCGCCTATGGGCCGAGGGGCCCCCCCTCCAGGTGAGGAGCCCATGAAGAGACCAGTGCTAGTGATACGAGATGCAGTAGCTGGATTCATGATGAGATAGCATCTTGACTGAAACTGATGATGTATTTGTATAATGAAGCAGGATTACTCTGAGATCCGGCTTAGAACTAACTGAACAAGAGCCATTCATTGAGAGCCCTGGCTCTTTGACACAAGTGCCAGTTTGTTAGGAGAGGTTTAGAGGTTGGAATGGTTTATTTGACTTGGTAGAGAGCTTTGTATGTTTTCTGTTACCTTTTCAAACAAGCCATTGAGCTATATTCTTGGGGCTTTTCTCTTTCAGGCATGATGGGCCCTCCTCCTGGCATGCGGCCACCCATGGGTCCTCCAATGGGGATCCCTCCTGGACGAGGGACTCCTATGGGCATGCCCCCTCCAGGGATGCGGCCCCCTCCCCCAGGTATGCGAGGTAAGTTTCTGCTGCAGTGACTTTGGCTTCCTTCCCTAGAGCTTAATGGGATAGGAAATAGAGGGAATATTGGATTTATTAGTCCTCATCCTCTGGGCTTTTGGGCCTTATGTTTAGGGAAATGAACTCCAGTGTACTTCTCAGTGCCTAATGGCACTGAGAAATAATGCATTCTAAGGATTCCCAACAGAGGATATGAGATTGCCTTATGTCCTGGGTTTGATGTTGTCTAGTAACGAAGAGGTACTCTGGGCTTAGCAATACTATTATTATGTATGCCTTTTTAACTCTAGTTTGAGAAATGTTGAGATGATACCCATATGGATAAGAAAATAGGCCCAGAGAGAGCTTGCCGTCCTGGCTGTCAGCCTTGTTTTTTCCACCAAGCCACAGCCAGATTTAGTGACCCTTGTTTTTCTAGTTGGGTTTTCCAGGTATAGGAACCCAGCAGCCCTAGGGCAGTCCCTTGATTGCTTGATAAGTGGTGGTGTGGGGGGGTGGTTGGGGATGGGGATTTAAATTGCAGATCAGGCACTGACTAAACTTCTTACTCTTACTTCAGGCCTTCTTTGACCTTGGCCAGAGTTACGGAAGTAGCAAGTAGCTCCACAGAAGTGTGGGCCCGATTCCCCAGGGCCACGTTACCACAGACCTGTTTGTTTGTTATGCTGTTGTTCCTGGAGTCTCACCGGATTGTCTGGTTTCCCTTACAGGGCCCCCTCCCCCGGGAATGCGCCCACCAAGGCCCTAGACTCATCTTGACCCTCCTCTGCTCCTTGCCTGTTTCCTGTGAGGCTGTATATAGTCCTTTTATTTCTTGTGGCCTATGAAACTGATTTATAATAAACTCTTAAGAGAATAGTATAAATGCACCTGATGTATCCATTTATTTTAGAAAAACTTTGATATATTTGGTGCTTAGTAGAGTCAAGAAAGGTTGTATTTAAAAACTAGCTCTAATTTTAGCTGCTTCCCTGTAAAATACATTTATTCTCATATACTAAGATTTACAAAATGAAACTAATGAGACATTTCCCTCATTAGACTTTGAAAATCAGTTTGTTGAAATAAACATTCATATGCTCTTGGTCAGGGGTGTGAATTGGTATATCCACTTGGGAAGGCACTCATTTAGATAGCTCCTTGGGCAGTGCTTTATGAAAACTGAAGAGAGGAAAAGTTACAGTATCACTTTCTCCCAGGGTCACACACATAATTAAATACTACTTTTGAAATGTATGATGTCTGTGATTTCTTCCCAGAGTCTGTTTAATTGAAAACGTGGTCACTGAGCAGTACTCGGGTACAGAACTAAGGTGGACACTGTTAAGTTACTGTAGAGGGGAAGATAGTTCTAAACTTTTGGCAAAGGAGGTGTTAATGGAAAAAACTAGTGGTATATCACCAACGTGTTCATGGGTTTCTCCAGGAGTATAACGTGGTTCAACATGCAGTCAGTTGAACACACTACTAACAGATCATCTCAATAATGCAGACAAAGCCTTTACAAGATTTCAACACCTTTTTATTAAAAAACAGGAAATTAGGGAACGTTGTAAACACAACAGGCACTTATGAAAAAACGTACAGCTAACACCAAAGTAGTGAACGATTGGCTGGGCATGGTGGCACCTGTCTATCCCAGCACTCTGGGAGGCTGAGGCCAGAAGACCGTAAGTTTGACTTCAGCTTGGGCAACTTAATGACTTAGACCCTTTCTCGAAAAGAGCTGGGGATGTAGTTCAAAAAGGGCAGAGGCCCTGGGTTCAATCCTTAGTACCACCAAAAAAACAATGAAGGACTGAAAGCTTTTCCTTTATGATAGAACAAGGATTCTCATTACTATACATTGTATAGGAAGTTCTAGCTACAGCAGTTTGGCAAGAAATGAAAGGCAGAAGTAGAACATGATAGAATCATGCATAAAAAATCCACAAGAAAGCTATTAGAGCTATTGAATTTAGCGAAGTTGGGTAAAAGATGACACAAAAATCAATATTATATGGCAGTGTGAAACAATCTGAAAAAAAAATTCTTAGAGCAACCAGAATACATATTAGGTATTTCTAGGAATCACATAATACCTAAATGTGTAAAAGGTTTGGCATCACTACTAGGATAACTAAAAACCACTAAAAATAACTGTTGGTGGCAATATGGAGAAATAGGAACCTTCAAGCAGTGCTGCTGAGAACATAAAATAGTGTTGCAGATATGGAACAGTTTGGCACTTCTGAAAGCTGAACAGTATCACTATATGGTCCAAGAATTCCACTCCTGAGTAAATTTTTTTTTGTGGCATTATATACATTTGGTCTTTGTCCCTGGTTTCTGTCACAAAGCACCTAAGACCTTTGGAATTTCTTGGAAGTGCCTTGTTATTCATAGTAGACCCCTTTGTAACATGAGTTGAAGCTACTGAGGTGACTTAGGATGGGGCCCTTGGAGAGCCTTAGGATGGGAACAGCCCTCTTTAGAACTATCAAGCAGTTTTGGAGTGTTGCCATTTCCATTCTTCCATCCTTTGGAGTGTTGGCCTCTGGGATGGGATGAGTGGCTGGAGATCAGGCTCTCCAAACTTGAACAGTGAGATTTGGTAGGTTGAACACTGGGAGGATCCTGTGCCTGAAGAGGGCAGGAAAGGCCTGAGTCCCTTCCCCCATCCCATCTGTATCCTTTATAATAAATATCCTTTGTAATAAACTACAAACCTAAGTGTTCCTCTGAGTTGTGTGAGTCATCCTGGCAAATTCCCAAGGTGCTAAGTGGGAGGTGGAGGTGTCTGGAGACTTCAGTTTATAGCTGGTATGTCAGAAGCACAGATCCCAATGTGGGATTTAAGGCTGGCATCTGAGATTTGATGAGACAAGCCCCAGAAGTCCCTCTGCCTTTAGGGCTGGCTTTGAATAAATGAGACACTGATGCGTCCATAGAGACCGCAGAATGGAGGTTACTAGGGATAGGGGCAGGGAAAAGTAAGTTTACTTAATGATTGTGTCACCACATAGGGTCTGAGGAAGTCTCCCCAAGAGAAAATGGGGACCTTCACTTGATTCTCCCACAGAGTAAGTTCACTGGCTTGCCACAGAAAAATAATTTTAGGACATGTCAGTGAGAGGCATAGGCAGATTTATTAGGCAGCATTAAGGAAGTACACAAAGCAGGCACTTCTTAAGACATACTGTGGTCTGGGGTTGGGGAATTTTATATATATTAGAAAAATAATATCAAAATTTAAAGTATTACAGTAAAAGACATTGCCATTAATTCACCTCAAAACATTCTTACTTTGAACACATTTGTCCCATCATCCTTGGCACTTTCTGAAGTAGTTCTGGAAGTGTCTTCTATTGTGCATGTCTTAGTTGCACTGTTTTGGCTCCCTTGATGTCCTGAATTGATTCAAAACTTTTACCTTTCATGGTCATTTTGATTTTGGGGAAGAGCCAGAAGTTGCATGATGCTAGATTCAGTGAAAAAGCTCAGTGAGGACACCCTGTAATGTTTTTATGAGGCTGTCTTTTCACTGGCTGGTACTCTGCAGCAGCATTCACTAGCTTTGATCACACCTCGTAAAGACAGGAAGGAAGATTTCCAGAACTTCATCAAAAAGATGGGATAAGTGTGTTTGAAGTGAGGGGGAATATTCTGAGGGGGATTAAAGACAATGTGTCTTTTACTATGATACATTTCTAAATTTAAAGACTTGCTGTATTTTTGATCACCCCTTTATGTGTTCTTGAGGTATCCTTTAAGTTGGATTATCTGAGCTGTTTTGCCTAAAATGTATATGTATATGTGTGTGTGTATATATATATATATATATATATATATATAAATATTAAAAACATCCCCCAAGTTTTGCAAACATAATGACTTGTATCTCATTAAGCGAACATATTGCTATTTGTTTCACCAAATCTCTGAGGTTGGACATTTAGCTTAGTTCTTTCACTAGCAGATAATATGATGACCATATTTTCTACATAAAGATTATTCTGTATTTAGATAATGAAAATGAAATTTCTGGGTCAAAGGAGGTAAACATTTTAATTAACAAGAAAGTTAATTAACTTAAAAGCTTGAGTTGATTTGCAGTGTTACAAATCAGACACAACTTACGCTTCACAACATGCTCAGAATTGATGATTATTAGAAAAAATACACTTTTCTAATTTGAACTGAAAAAATGGAACATCATTGTTTTATTGTATTTTTTTATTTTGAAGTTTATCACTGCATTATATCTGTGTTTTTGAATTGTTTTTATTTTTAGGCATCTCTGTCTTTTTTTGAGTATTGTCTTTCAAAACAGAGCTTAGAGACATAGTCTATGTTGCTACATAAGTCTTAGTGATGTCTAATGAATGGATATAACTTGTTAATTTCTCCCACTTTGGGAATTCATATTATCTCTGATTTTACAAATTATACAGAAATGAATTAGTTTCTGCAGAAATATATTTTCTTTGCTTTTCCAAATTTCTTAGAAGCAATATTCATTATTTAGAGGCAGGAACTAGAAAGGAAACCATCTCTTACTGAGTCCACGTGCTTGCATCAAATATCCCTGGAAGGCTGTGTATAAAGAATTGACCAATTTGGTTGCCTTTGAGGGGAACAGGAATGGAAAGAAGAGTTTTCACTGAATACCACTTACAGCCTTTTAAATATTGAACGTGAGTGCATTACCTAGTTTTAAAAATTAAATACATTTAAAAAAATTAAAACTGAAAAATGATTGAATTTAAAAGGCCCACATCCACCAGGAGGCAGCATTGCTCTGTAAGGAGGAAGTTGAGAGGCAAATATGAGGTTGTCTGAAGCATGGGCACTGGGAATGGGAGTCAATGTTTTTCTTCCTCCCTTTCTATATTATCCAAATTTTCTACAAAGATCTATATAGGAATAGAATATGTTTTATTTAATTAAAGAAGAAAGTGCAACGGCTGTCTCTCTTTAGCTATGTGGCCATACCTCTCTATGTTTATATCTCTGAAAGTAGAGTTAGTGAGGAAGAGGGGAATTAGATTGAATTTAATATGTTGATATGAGGCTAGGGGTGTAGCTCAGTTGTAGAGTGTTTGTCTAGCAGGTCTTGCATTCAGTCCTCAGAACAACAACAACAACAACAACAACAACAAACACCTTGCCAGGCATGCCAAAGAGCCCTCCAATTGTGTTATCTCATACCACTGTGACAGTATATTCCCACTACTCTGTGTTGAATGAATGGAGAAAAACTTCTGTGTTGTTTGTTTCCGCATCTGCAAAATGGGAGTGTGTCTTGTAGTTGCCTCACAGAGGCAGGTGTGGGCACCTCAGGGGCAGGTGTGGGTTGACCATCTCCTGAATGTGAAACTGCTGACTCTACACGTGCCTTAATTGGATTTGAACGGATTTACTACTAGCATAATGAGGCTTTCTGGGCAGAGGAGGGCAGCCTCTTAAACATGTGCAAAATGGTTTGAGAGATAGGAGTGGCAAAAAAGCCATTTTATTGTGTTCAGTGGGTAGGGCTCTGGTGAGATCCCAGAAAAGGGTTGGGCTTGCATAGTTCAAGGGAGGGAGACCACAGGCTGGCTTTCTTTTCTTCTCCTTGTCCTTGTCCTCCTTCCCCTTCCTATCCCCCTCACTTTCTTCCTCTTTCCTCCCTTCCCCTCCTCCCCCCCCCCCCATTTGATACTGGTCTGGAGAACAGGAATCAAGTATCATCTCTTGTGTGTCACCTGAGGTGCTCAGACACTAAATGTGTGGTCGATGAAAAACTGATGCCCAGAAACCACCCCCAGACTTAAATGGCCTGATATGTAACCTTCGTGCCAAAAGTCTTTATTTATATATGTAGTTTTGGAGTGCTAGGGGACAAACGCAGGACCTCACACATGCTAGGCAAGCGGTCTGCCTCTGAATTACACCTCTAGTCCAGCTCACAGTCTTTTTCATGGGCTGGCCCAGATGTGGGATTAGAGGGAAAAAAGAGGGGTGGTGCCTGAGAGCTGTCAGAAATCAAAAAGAGAGAAAAAAAAACAACTCAGACTTTTCATTGCAGAATGAAAAAAACCCTCATCTTACTGAAGATTGAATGAGCTAATCCAGGTAATGTGGCTAGCACAGAGAATGTGGTGAGTAGATATTTGCCATTACTATTTTTTCTTGAGCCTCTCGATTCTGATTTTCTAAAGAGCTTTTTCTTTTGAATCTTGTCTTATTTTTTCTGGGAGTGAGATCTATAGTTATAGCTTTTGGCTACCCTTGTACGATTAATCTTCCTTGTCTTTGTTTCTCCCCATGGAACCACGGGCAGTGTTGAGCAGGAAGTCAAAGAAAGCTTGTTCCCATTTCCAGAGTGCCTTGTATTGAGTGCCACACTCAGTGCTGGGTGCCTCACCTGTTAGGTCAGCGGACACTAGTTGCTGTGAATGAGTCTACCCCTGGGGGAGGGGTTTGGTTGGCAAATCTGAATGTATGCATATCCTATGATCAAGCAACTCCATATACATATAATATATATCCAACTGAAATGCTGATGTATGTTTACAAAAAGACATGTATGAGAAAATATATTAGCAACTCCACTCATAATAACCTAAAACTAGATACTACTCAAATACACTTCAATAGTAAAATGGACAAATTGTAGCCTATCCAAGCAATTACACATCAAGGAGTAGTTCAACAGGTCTGCAGTCTCCAGGTATGGTGGCATACCCTGATAATCCTACCACTCAGAAGGCTGAGGCAGGAAGCTGAGGCAGGAGGTTTGAGAGTTCAAGGCCAGCCTAAGCTATATAATGAGTTATAGATTGTTTGGACTATATAGTGAGATCCTCTCTTAACAAAGCAAGGCAAAACAAAACAAAACATGAAAACAGGTCTGTAGTAACACAGAAATATGGATGAGTCTTTCAGATGAAGTGCCAAGTGACAGAAGCCAAAGATCAAACATGAAAAAAATACATAGTATGTAATTCCGCTCATATAAAATACAAGAACTAACTTTGCTCCTGTAGAGTAGTGGTTATCCTTGAAGGGGCCACAGAAGGGTGGGGGCTCCTAGGGTGCTGGTGATGTTTTATTTTTGATCTAGGAGTGTGGGTTTGGTTTGTGAAAGAATTCAGTGAGTTCCACACTTTTGATATGAATAAATTTGTCAGTATATGTTAAGGTCCTATAAGAATTAACAAAACAAAACACCTCACAGAGGAGAATCTAAGGAGAAATGTACTATCGTGTTTTCACTGTGGGAGAGTCCAGGAGATGACACTAGCTGGTGTTTTCTGTTCTCTTCTGATGTCCTTCTAATGTACACTTCATTTATTCATCCAAAAATATTTACTGAACACCTACTGTGTGCCAGACACTGTTCTGTTAAACTTTGCTGGGCATACAAGAGTAAGCAAAACAGAAAAATTCCTTGTAGTTAATGAGTTTACAATCCAGAATGGGAAGATGGTACATAAATTAATAAACACATAAATGAATAATAGGAATTCAAATGGGAATAACTGCTATGGAGAAAAGCAAGTCAGAGAGGAGATGGAATGTACTGGAAGAATGGGTTTATGTAAGTAGAGAGGTCATAAAGAGCAAGTTGAGCAGTAACCTGTTGGAAGTAAGGAAACAAGGCAAGCAGAAATGATTGGGAATTGAAAAAAAATTTCCAAGTAGGGAACACAACACATGCAAAGGCAATTTGGTGCATTTTGTTTCTCAGACCAAGAAGGTTGCAGTGCCAGTTATCTATTTACTGCATCTCAGTTTCAAAAGCACCTTTCAGAGCCTACTCCCGGTTAGACTCCTATTTCTTGTCAGCCGGCACGATGTTCAGGTTTGTCAGTAGAGGGCGCAGGAGAGACATCTCAGGAAAAGGCTTCCTTTGTGGTTGTGGTGGGTTCCCAGTAGGCTTCAGCAGCTTTCCTTGCTTCTCTGGCCTAGCTCGCAGCCTGAGTGATTCCTCTAGTGCATGCTCTGTAGGGAAGATGGCTTTTGCAAGGCAAAGTGGCCATCAGCACTCAGCACCCAGCAGTGTCCCCTGGCACCCTTCGTGGGTGATTTTGTAACACTGCCTCTGGGCAGACTTCATGAATGGCTTTCCCTGGTATCCTAGAGGGCAAATTTCTTGCAAGTTCTGGTAATGAGGCACCACAGTGGCTTCTCTGTCATCTGTTGAGTCATGAATGTCCTTTCCAGCGAGGCCTGGATCTCTGTCCCGACCCTAAGGATGGTTTAAATCTGAAATTCCTATAATCTCTGGAGTTATCGTGATTGCTTACTAACTAACCTGTAACCTCCTGCCCCCATTATGACAAATATTTCCTTATATGAAATTTTACCCATACAAATTACTGCATAGTTTTTTTCCCCTACCTTATGAATAGGCCCTGACTGATATGGCCATCTTAGTTGTAAAGCACTGAGATTGTAGTAGGAGATGAAGTCAGAGAGCAGCTAGCACCCCCCTCACACCTGCTTTCATCCTGAGTGGATGGGGCATGCCTGGAGGGGATTTGAACAAAGGAATGGCACACTGTGGCTCAGATTTGGCTCCCCCTGGCTGCCTAGAGAAGGGATGAAGAGGGCAGTAGCAGAATCAGGGACACCAAGAGAGAAGGGTGGCATGGATCCAGGGTGGTGGTGGTGGTGACAGGAGACAGATGGATTCTGGGCATCCTTTAAATGTAGAATGGACAGCATTTATAGTTGGATTTAATGAGATGAGGGAGAAAAATAGGGGCAAAAAATAATTCCAAGGTTTTTGACCTAAAGAACTGAAAAGATACAGTGTGCATTTGTATTGGAGGGTATAGGAATCAGGGATTTAGTTTTAGATGTTCAGATGGTCTCCAAATTCAATGGCTTGGCTTAGGATTTTTTGACTTTATGATGTGTAAAAGTTGTATGTATTCAGTAGACGGCCTTTTCCTAGGCTTAGGATGTGATACAATCCTCTCTCATTGATGTCGGGTGGCAGCAGCAAGTGGCAGCTGCCATTGGCCACACAATCACGAGGGACAACATCCAAGACTACAGGGTACTGTGTGGCTAAACTAGCTCATTTGGTAGGTTAGGGTGTTAAATACATTTTCAACTTGTGATATTTTCAATTTAAAGTGGGTTTGTTGGAATGAAACCCTATTGTAAGCCAAGAAATATCTGTATTAGGTTAGATATAATAAATTGGGAAGCATTAATTTAAGAAAACATCAAACCTCAGTAAAAACAATTGGAATCCAGGGCATTTTACCCCACAGTGGCTGTCCTTCACGCTCTGTAGTCCTACCAGCAGGGCAGGCTGTGGGGACTAGAGCTCTGATGATGAGGGGCAATTTTATTTGGAGAAGAGTTGTTAAAACAAAAGCAACATCAGCAGCAAAAACTCAGAGAAGACTACCATCATAGCCAGAGCTTTCCATACTAGTTGGGGCAAACAGCAGATAGACCAGTAAGAAATTCAGCAAAGGAGATTTAGAAAGAGACAGCTAGAGAGATTTTTTTTGTACTGGAGATTGAATTTAGGGCTGCATGCATGGGCATGCACTTGACCACTGAGCTACATCCCTAGCGTAGAGTAGATCTTGACAGGATCCTACTTATTCCTGGTGGTCTAGAAGGTCATGGATAGCTAAGGAGAGACCAGAGAAGATACCAGCTTACTAGTCCTCTTAGGCTAAAAGTGAGATCTTGAAAACAGAGTAAAAGATGGGGGCCCTTGTAAATTTCCAGAAATTTTAATGCATTCTTTAAAACCTGGATAGATTCTTTTACTTTTTATTTATTTTTCTTTATGTCATGAATAGATTGTCCAGCAAATAATGGAAGATTTACTGTTTCAAGGTGCTTATGAAAACCCAGCATGGACCTCTAGGAAGTCAGGCTTATTAATAACTGCAGGTTTTTGTGAGTTTTTTTGGTACCAGGGATTGAACTTGGATACTTGCACTTGCGAGGCAGGCACCGGAACCACTGAGCTAAATCTCAGGCCCGGTCAGGCTTATTAGTAAAAGCAAGATTTTAAAAAGTCCTAATCAGAGACATTATCCATTACACAGTAGCAGGAAAATAGATTCATAGCATTAATCCAGGCAAATAAAGAAACAAATGATAATAACAACCATTCCTCTTAGTAGGATCAGAATTCAGAGTTACAACAAAAAAATTATGAGACATGCAACACACACACACAGACAAACCAATAGAGTGTGACTCATAAACAGAAAAAAGGCAATTGCTATGATTTGAATAAATGTCCTACAAAGGCCCTTGTGTTAAAGGCTTGGTCACCAGCATGTGGTGCTATTGAGAAGATGGTGGAATCTTTAGGAAGTGGGAACTAGTGGAAGAATAGGAGATCACTGGGGCTGAGCCTTTGAAGGGGATATTGGGACCCCACCCCCTTGGTATTTCTCTCTTTGCTTCTCATCACTATAAAATGCACAGACCTCCCATGCCATGTGCTTTGGCCACAATGTACTGTGCTACCACAGGCTCAAAGCAACAGCGCCATGGCCTGAAACCTCTGAAACCTTGAGCCAAAATAAATCTTTACTTAGTATAAGTTGATTATCTCAGGTATTGTGTCACAACAACAGAAAGCTGACTAACACAATGATCAATATGCAAAATCTCTGAGGGGCCCCAGATGTTAGATTTAGCAAACACTTCAAAGCAGCTATTATAAATATATTGGCCTATCAAATCTACAGAACCCAACAACAGCAGAATATTCACTTTTCTAAAGCACATATGAAACATTCTTGAAGATAGACAATATGCCAGACAATAAAACAAATCTCAATAAATTAAACTTTTTATTTTGAGATAAGTATAGATTCACATGCAGTTATAAGAAACAATACAGAGAGATCCCCTATGCCCTTTACCCAGTTTCTTTCAATAGTAACATCTTGCCAAACTGTAGTAAAATATCACAATCAGGATGTTGTCATTGATATAATCAAGACCCAGAACATCTCATCACAGTGAATATCTTTATATTGTGTGTTGTCCTTTTTTCACTTTCAGAATCAGCCCCACTGTCTTTTTGACTTCAGGCAATCACTAATCTGTTTTCATTTCATCATTTCAAAAATATTACATTAACGGAATCTTACAGTATGTTATTTTTTAGATTTTTTTTCACTCAGTATAATTTTATGGAAATTTGTTTAGGTGTTGTTTGTGCTCATAGTTCCTTCTTTTTGATGGCTGAGAATATTCCATAGTATGGATATGCTACAGTTTTTTTTTGTTTGTTTTTTGTTTTTTGAGACAGGGTCTCATTGTGTAGACCCAGACTGGCCTTGAACTCACTATGTAATCCAGGCTGGCCTTGAATTTATTTTGATCCTCCTGTCAGAACTTCCTGAGTGCTGGGATTATAGGTATGTTCCACCATGCCCAGCTTGCTACATTTGGCTTAATTACTCAACAGTTGAAGGGCACCTGGATTCTTTCTAGTTTGGAGATATTATGAACAAAGATGTACAAACATCCATGCATAAGTTTTTGTGTGAACACAAGTTTCATTTCTCTGGGTTAAATAAATAGGAGTAATTGCTGTATTGTATGGGTGGAGGAGTTAGGGTCTCTCTTAAGGTCTTGCCTAGGCCTAAGAATTAAACTGGCATAAAATAGATTATCAGTAGAAAAGTATAAAAGTTTATTTAATATGTTTTATATGACATGAGTGCCCTTATAAGGAAATGAAGCCCCAAAGAATCTGATTCTTCTGCCAGTTTAAATCTGCTGTTGAGCCCCTCTAGCAAATTTTTCATTTTGTTTAATTATGTTTCAACTCCAGAATTTCTGTTTAATTTTTTTATATGGTATCTATCCCTTAGTGATATTCTTTATTTGGTAGATCTTGTTCCCATCTTTTTTGTTTTTTACATATGGTTTTTAAAAGTTATTTGAACATATTGAAAACAGCTGATTTATACCCTTTGTCTGGTAAACTCAATGTCTATAGGCTTCCTAAGGGACAGTTTTTATTGAGTTTTTATTTTTGGCTTGAATATGGTCCATATTTTATTGGTTTGTTGTATGTTTTATAAGTTTTTTGAACTCCAGACATTAAAAATAATACAATGTGGCAAGCCTGGAAACTAAATTCTTCTGCCTCCCCAGCTCTTGTTGCTGTGCTTTTTTTGTTGTTTGATCTGTGACTTTCTTGTACTAATTCTGTAGAATTTTGTATAATAACCAAAGTCTCTGATCATTAGTTGGCAAATTATTGGGCAGAGATTTTCTTAAATGTTTTGAATGATAAATTCTCCAGGAATTGTGTGTGATGAGGCATACCTTCAATTCTTAGGCTGAAAGTTCATAACTCTTCCTTATCTTTCACTTCCTTCTTGTGCAGAGCCTCAAGGTCAATCAGAGGTGAGAACTTGGGCCTTCTATGGTCTTTCCTGGACGGTACAAAGTCCTGTGTACATGCATAGTTTCATGCATGCCTGCTGCTTCTGAGATTTCTAGGTATATACTGGAATGTTTTACAGTCCCCTATGGACATCTCATTTCTCATATTTTAGGATTTTTAGTCAGCTCTTTTTTGGCCCCAACTTTAGGTACTTGTGATGTTAAACAACTGGTGCTGGTTGTTTTTGACAAATACACAGGGAGAAAAGGCTGTTTGCACTTAGGAATCTCTAACTGTGTCACATAAAGAGAAGCTCTACAAATGGAGATTTCTAGAGAAACACACAACTGCTCAAATGATAGCAGTTCACTAGGAATGGTGCTTTTGAGGAATGCCAAATCTGTTTTACTTTTTCCAGTGGCTGCCAAGCTGCTGAACTTCACCATGATTGCAGGGTTGTTGATTTTTAAGGCAACCAGAGTCAGCATGGGGGTGGGGGAGTGGGAAGGTGAAGGGTGGGAATTGGCAAGTTAAAACATAAAACAATTGCTCTTCTTATCAGTATTCAGCTACTTTTATTTGCATATACACTCCTTAGATTGTTGCAACCCTTTGGTTAATTTCCACTGTACTGAATTATTGGTTTTCATAATTTCTGTCAGTGTTCTTGTTGTTTTAATGGAGGAATGGAATTTAGAAGATTCTTACTCTCCCATTCTTGATGGCATCCTGGGACTGAGGGCATCTTGTTATATAGCACTTTAAGTGCTTTTAAAAACTTATTATTGGGCCGGGGATTTAGCTCAGTGGTTTCGCCGCTTGCTGCACAAGCACAAGGACCGAGTTCTATCCCAGGTACCAAAAACAAACAAACAAACAAACCTCATTATTTATTTGTTTGTTTGTTTTTTTGAGACATGGTCTTGCTATGTAGTTCAGGCTGGTCTTGAACCCATTATGTAACCCAGGCTGGCCTCAAACTTACAGTGATCCTCCTGCCTCTGTCTCTTGAGTGCTGTGCTACAATGCCTATTATCCATTTTTAAATTATCTGGCTGTTCCTAATTGATTTATAGACAGCCTTTTGCTATAAATCTCTGTTGGTTTTATGTTACAAATAGCATCTTTCATTTTGTAGTTTGCCCTTTTATTTCTCAGTGTTTTTTTGATTTAAAGAATGACTTAAATTTTAATATAGTAGTCTGAGGATTTAGCTCAGTGGTTCCCCTGCCTGCCTCGCAAGTGCAAGGACCTGGGTTCGATCCCCGGTACCACACACACACACACACAAATTTAATATAGTTCAATTTATTAATATTTTATTTTAAGGTTAATCCTTTTCTGTGTGTTCTATTTAAGCAATCTCTCTTACTGTAAGGAAATGACAATTTATTTCCTGTTATGCTTTTTTCCACTATGCCCCTTTGCCAGATTAATGAGTCCACTGTCTTTAAACTCAGTCTCCTGTACAGTCTCAGGACATGAGCAAACTCTAGACAAATTTTCTGCCAAAGGCTGGGCATGATGGCACATGCTTATAATTCCAGGTCTCGGGAGAATGAGACAGAAGGGTTGCGGCTGGTTCAAGACCAGCCTGGGCTACATAGTTCAAGGTAAGCCTGAACTACACAGTGTGACCCTGTCTCAAAAAATTAAAAAACCTTTTTTTCCTGCCAGAGCATAATACACATGGTCTGGAGTCTAACTGCTAATCTAATCCTTGTTGCCAACTGAAATCTCAGTCTAATATTTACTGTCTACATTTCTATCTGCATTCTGGTCTTCCAACCAGAATTTCTCATCAAGCTCAGCTCACAGCATGCTAGGGCTGCTTCTCTGGCTGACATCTCCAAAGCTCTCCAAAGAACCAGTTCCAAAGGCTTCTGAACCACATGGTCAGGTAGTCACAGCAATGACTCCACTTGTCTTATGCTAAAAACTGTCTTAGTCAGTTTCTCCTTGTTGAGATAACAACTTAAAATAGGAAAGGTTTATTTTGGCTCAAAGTTTGTAGAGGTTTAAGTCCAGAGCTGGCTGGCTCCAAGGCAGAACAGCATGGTGGAAGGGCCTGGGTGGAGGAAAGCTGCTCTTTTGTGAATGCATGGAGTAGATTTTGATTTTGATTTTATCTCTGGATATTTGACAGACCCAGCATTATTTACTGAAAATAATCTTCCATTATTTACTGCTCTATAGTGCTACTTATCTTATAACTCAAATACCCATATAGTGTTTATTTCTCTTTCAATTCTATTCCATTGGAGGAATTCTATTACTCCTGTCAATAGCTCAATATATTAATTACTATAGCTTTATAATCAACCTTGATATCTTGTAGAGAAAGTCTTCTTATTTTGTTCTTTAAAATTGTCTTGGCTATTTTTGTGTTCCATGTACATTGTAGGATAGGTAGTAATTTTTATTGTTATTACATTGCTTTCCAAGATCAATTTGTAGCCTTCCAACCCGTGAACATGGTATAATCTTTCAATTACTTTGTATAGATCTTTCACTTTTCTTGATGTTTTCGAGTTTTCTGGATAGAGGCCTTACATATTTTTGTTGTATTCTTTCTCCAAATATTTCATGCTTTTTATGCTGTTGCAATGGTATATTTAAGATTTATTTTCTAACATTTTATGATGCCATATATAGAAATGAAATTGATTTTTAGTAACCTTATATACAACACATTTACTAAATTCATTTATCAATCCTAATATGTGTAGACACTTTTAGATTTCCTATAATTTTACATAATCTTGTTGACTATGAACAAACACAGTTTAGTTTTTTCCTGATCCTTATCCTTTTAATTTCTTCTTCTATTTTTTATGTTTTACTTGATTGTACTAGGGACTCCTGGACAATGTGAAGTAAAAGTAATGATAATGGGCATCTCTTCCTCATTCCCAATCAGGGCTCCTCCTCTGGATACCCAAGAAATATAAACGCTGAAATGCAGATGCATCATCATGCCACCCTCATCTGTTTGGCTCAGCCTTGTGGCCATGGTAATACTTGGAGCACAGCCCTTTCCTGGAGATTGAAAAAGCCTGAACCTCCCCTAAACCTAACCTTCCTTGGTTCACCCAGGTCACAGTCTCAATCAAGTCCCTGTTGGCACCTCGGCTGACACCTTCTCCAGAGGAAGGAAGGAGTGAAAGGGGGCTGATTTCTAGTTTGCTCTGTATCACTTGACCTGGTTCTGCTGAAGCAGAATTTTGGAACTTAACCTAGTTCCAAAGGCATCCTAAAATTTGAGTGATTCTTTGGAGGTCTTGTAATCCAAGTAAGTTCCACTGGTGATACTTCAAATTTGCCTAGGAGTAAAAAAAAAAACCCTAAGAGAGTCACTCTTCTAATTGAATTAGGTATTACCTTCTCCAGATATCTGTCTTCCCTTTGGAAGAGGGAAGAAATCAAGTAATTTTCACACAGTTTGTCAGTGTCACACAGTTCTAGTAATACCAGCAAAACACATGCATACACACACACGTGCACGCACACATAGGACAGCATGCCTACCCAACCTTAGTGACCAGGGGAGCTTCTCTCTTCCCACCTCAGAAAGACACCGGGGAAATGTCCCAGAAGAAGATGAAGAAACATATCCTTTGGTGATTATGCACATAGACTCTGGAGCTAGGTTACCTGAATTCACTGCCTGCCCTACTATTATTGACTTACTAACTTCTGAGAAGCTGTTCAGCATCTCACAGATTCAAAGACCTTGTCTGTAAAATAGAGATAAGAATATTATCTATCTATTTGGCACATAATAAGAGTTCATTAAATATTGTCATTGTTGTTAGAGAATGTTGACTCCCTGCTTCTTCTGCTTATGTTTGCAGACAAACTTCAGAAATTGCAATAGCCAACCTAGGCTGAAACTGCTTCCTGAGGTCCAGTCAATAACTGACTTCATCAGTGTGATGGTTTATTTTCTGTGTCAACTGGACTGGGCCATGGAGTACCCAGACATTTTGTCAAGTACAATTCTAGGTGTTTCTGGATGAAATTAATATTTGAATCAGTACACTAAGTAAAACAGTTTGCCCTCCCTAGTGTGGGTGTGTCTTAGCCAATAAGTGGAAGGAATCAGGAGAACACAAAGGCAGTTATCCCATTAATAAAAGGGAGCCCTGCTGCATGCCTGCCTTCCAACTGGGTATCCCTGCCTTTGAACTTGAACTGAAACACTGTCTCTTCCTCAGTGACAAGCCTACCAGTCTTTGGGCTGGAACTTTACCATCAACTCTCCCAGGAATCCAGCTTGTCAGCTGCAGATCTTGGGATGCATTAGTTGCATAAGCACTTGAGTCAATTTCTTGCAAAAAAATCCCCTTCTCTCTACATATGCATTCTATTGGTTCTGTTCCTAGGATCAATCTACTGCCAGCACTGCATTACCATAACTATCCCTCGCCTTCCTTGCTTCAACTTAAGAAACAGTCTTGTAACACATTCTGCCTGACCACTGAACAGGAGGCTAGGGATCTTTGTGAGGGACAGCCCCGAAGGCCTGAAGAAATTGCAAAGATGACTCCAGTAAGAAGTTATTGGAGATCATGGTCAAGGTCCTGGCCTCCCAAATTCCTTTGCCTTCTAGGGTTTGAAGATCAGGATTGCTGACCAGTGTCAGGAAGAGGGAGATGAGCTGCAGGACACTTGGGGCACACTGGCTTCCCTCAGTTCCCTAGACATATCTGGTTCATCTCTGCCTCAGTATCTCTGTGAATCAGGGCTCTTGGTTATAAGTAAAAGAAATTTGGTGGCTCAAACAGAGAATGGAGTAGAAATTAGCATGAAATGGAGAGGATGCTAAGACACAGACCCAACCTATGGTGAAGTGGGATCCCATGAATACCAGAGGATCAAGAAGCAGGCAGCAAAAAACAGTATGGCATGTTGTATATTTCCCAGGATAGACATAACAAATTTCCAGCCCCCCAACCCCCTCTAGAAACTTTCCATGCCTTGTTGTGAATTAGAATCAATTTCCCTACCCTTTGAAACTGGGAAGAACTTTGTAACTGCCAAGATGAATGGAATGTGGCAAAAATGACACTGGGTGACATCCAGCAAGAGGCCACCAAAGCAGTATGACTTCTCTGGCATTTGCTGTCTTGCAGCGTGTGCCCTGGCAACCAGCTGCTACTTTGGGAGGAAGCCCAAGCTATGGAGGGATTGTGGGCAGGTGATCCAGCCAAAAATCCCACTGGGGGCTCAGTGGACAACCAGAGTCAGCTGCCAGCAATATGGAGGAAGCTGTAGATGATCACCTCAGTTTGGTTGAGCAGAGGGCAGTTATCCCCACCAAGCCCCTCCCAAAGTGCAGACTTGTGAGAGCAAAACACTTGTCATCATTTTAAGCCTTACATTATGGGTTGGTTTGTTATACAGAAATTGGTAATCAGAAAAGAGCAGTTATGGCAGAAATCACTGGTTAAGATGATGCCTAGGGTTCTGTCACCACCCCACAACCCCCACCTTCACCACCAAGTCTAAAGTGCCCTGAACATTCCCTCTTCCTAATCTCCTGAGAGTCAAAGTCCCAGGAGACAGCATGTGACTGTATGGGCGAAGTTGCTCAGCTCGGGCTGTGCTGGGATAGGTAGAGGGATGCTTGTTGTTCTTCATTCCAAAAAGAGATAGGGCCAAGAGTTGCTCCCTACAAGACTGCATAGGAAAGGTGACTTCCCATAAGTCTAATGGGTTGGAAGTATCCTCAGTGGCCCATGTGTTAAAGGCTTGGTCCCCAGCTTGTGGCACTATTAGGGGTGGTGGAACCTTCAGGAGGTATAGCTTACTTGAAAATTGTCTGGTCATATGAGGTGTGTCATTGCAGGGTCTTGGGACCCCGGCCCCTCCTTTTTGTTTTTGCATCTCATCCATGAGGTGAGCAGCTTTGCTCCAACTGTGCTTCTGCCATGATGTGCTGTTTTGCCTCAGGACCAAGAACAATGGAGGTAATTGATCATGGATTGAAACCTCTGAAACTGTGAACAAAAGTAAACCTTTCCTTTTAAAAAAAATTTTTTTTTTGGTACCAGGGATCAAACTTGGGACCTTGTGCTTACAAGGCAGGTGCTAGAACCACTGAGCTAAATCCCTGGCCCTGAATTTTTGTGGTTTTTTTTTTGTTTTTTGTTTTTTTTGGTACTGGGGATCGAACTCGGGACCTTATGCTTGTGAAGCAGGTAGCGGAACCACTGAGCTAAATCCCCGACCCAAACTTTACTTTTTTTTTTTTTTCCAACCTTTCCTTTTTATAAGCTGATTATTTCATGTATTTTATTATAGTAACAGAAAGCTGACTAATACAAGCCCCAAACTGACATGACTTTTTCCTCTGATGGATCACAGTTTCTCAGATCGCCACACAACTGGCTCTTCACATGCAGTTAACAAAGTGGCTGAGAGGTAGGGGAAAGGAAAGAAGGGAATGGAATTAATATGAGAAAATGAAAAAATGGAAACAAAGTCTTTGTAAATAGGGAGGGATGGAGGGGTTGAAGGGAGGGCAGGGGAAGGAGGAAAAAATAAGAACCAAGAGATTATGTAAAGGTGCATATCTCCAATGATGAATGTCATTATATTGTACACCTAAAATGTACCAATAAAAGGATAAAAAACCCCCCACAAAAACAAAATGGCTGAGAGCACTGCTTCTGACACCCTGGCCTCAAATACCACATCTGCCATTTATGTCCTGTGCAAGTGTCTGAAAGTGACTTCTTCTCTGAGTCCCCCCTCTGCCCTGCACTCCTGTTTCCTTATTTGGAAAAAGGAGAGAATAATATTACCTACTTCACAGAGTTCTTATGAAGATTAATTAATTAACATGTGTAAAGCACCTGAAACAGTTCCTGGTACACATTCTGATTTAGATTTTAATCATTATTTTTATTATTATTAAAATGTCAGGCTTTTTAGAGAGCCTTTCTTTGATTCCCTTCTCTAAAGTAAAGGTATCCTAACACGATCACTCACTTATTTTATTTTGGCACTTACCACTAAATCTAATTAGCTTATTTACTTAAGAAGTTGTGTTTTCATTTGCTTTTATTTCTCACTTTGTTGTTCATACCTTTTAAAATGTTGTGATTGAACTCCTAATGCCTGTTAGCACACATGTGGGGAACGTAAGTGACTACCCTGTCCCAGGAGTTGAATGGGGACACTTTTTTTTTTTTCATGGTACCAGGGATCAAACTTGGGACCTTGCACTTTCGAGGCCGGCTGTGGAACCACTGAGCTAAATCCCTGGCCCTGCCAGGAGTTGAATGGAATGTCATGTGGGGACATGGAGAGGCCTGGCCCAGACTCCCTGGGTGGAAGGATTATGCCCCTCAGCTTCTGGCCAGCTGCCGAATGTCCCAGCTATAGAGAGCTGTCTCACCCAGAGTCAGGACACTTCTTTTTTTTTTTTGGTACCGGGGATCGAACTCAGGACCTTGCCCTTGCGAGGCAGGCACCAGAACCACTGAGCTAAATCCCTGGCAAGACACTTCTTGGTGAATCAGTGAAAGATGCCTGCATGTTAAGATCCAGCCATCTCTCCAGTCATGGCATTTCAAGCTGCCTATGGGTCCCCAGAAATTATCATAGGCCCATCTCATGGCTGACCCCTGCCTCCACCCACTCTTGTTCCTAATCCTGCAGAAAGGAGCATCTTGATGCCAGGACTGGCAGGTAGTTCTCCATCCAGGCAGGAGCTTGCAGAGTTCCTGGACACATGTGTAAGAGAAGCAGAGAACCTGTGATAGAGGAGGCCCTGGTCAGGTGTTCCTGAGAACTGAGTCCTGAATGCAGATTCTCAGTGTGACAGAGCCAGAAGGACCCAGGACTTCACTGTGTTTCTCCAGTATTTCTGCCCAATGTCCTCGAAGGGAAGGAAGGGAGCTCAGAGCCCTGGTCCAGGAAGACAGGCCATTTTCACCCAGTGACTGGGGAAGGGGAAGGAGGGACCATTTGAGAAGCTCAGATCCAGACAGGAAATCCAAAGGCAAGGCCTAAGCCAGCTCTGGCTGGGGTCTGGTAGAGGGCAGGCCTCAGTGTGGTCTGAGCTCAGCCTAGCGTTAGGGTCCAATCAGAGATTAGGACTGGAGTTCAATGTGGGGTCTGGACTTTGGTCTGAGCCTGGGATGAAGGCTCTGACTGGACCATCTGGGGCTGGACCAGTCAGAGTTGAGACTAGGCCTGGGATTGATCAGGGTTCAGCTTGGCAGGAGCGAGGACTTGATGGAAAGTCAAGGTTTGGGGCATGTGCCAT